TAATATGGCGGTCACCATGGTGTGCCATGTTCTAGACCTCCTGGCTTCTTTCCTCTAAGGTTTAGATCATAGGAAGGATGGTTCAGTCCAATCCACAACCAAAGAATATTTTACTTGATAGGACTCCCAGAAGAACTGAATGCTCAAGATGAGCCTCTTAGTTTGAAAAAAAGAAAAACCCTTTAGTACAAGAGTTGGTAGAAAGGGGGATTGCTATCTTAATCTCACAGGCATGCCCTGGGAATCAAGATAATCCAATTGACTCAGCCTCATTAGGGACCAATCCATGTGATAGAAACCTATTTTTCAGTTTTGGAATAGAAGGCTGTGCCTTCCACTGGAGATTCTCACTCTTAAGCATGCCAGGCTGGATTGAACTGAGTATGGTTGAGTGATTTAACATGGTGCTCACCATCATATGTTGCACCGTGGCTATAGCTCTCTATTCCCCTCATCCCGATCTTAGCTGACTCAGAGGAAGGTATTCAAATGACCCATTATAAGGACAACTAAGGTGGACCAAAGCCTCCATTTTCTCAACAGAAATGGATGTGACCTAAAGTAATTATGCTTGGGTCCCTAGCATAGGACAAAAGTACTTAAAGCAGCCTTGCTTTTATCCTCTAGGGTTACCAGACTCAGCTCTCTCTAGCAGCACAAGATGTAGAATTATATTTGAATTTTGAATAAACAACAAATAACTTTTCAGTATAATTATATCCCAAATATTGTACTTTGGTATACTTTACCTGGAAATCTTACTTTGGCTTATAGCCAAGGGAACCCAGCTTGAATCTAGGAGGGAAAAATCATGACCATGCCCTGCTGCTCGTGTTGGACCTAGGGTGTCCTCCAAGGACAGTAGAGTGGTTGGAAAGCAGGGAGGGGAGGAATGAAGGAATTTGAATTCTGGGTCTCTTGCAAGTCCCTAGAACGTGGGTGTAGTGTTAAAGTGTGGAGATTGTGAAAACCCATAAAATGGTCATCACAGAGATTGCAAATGTTTGGGGTAACATAACCAAACTCCATCAGGTTGGGAGTTAGAGGTCAGGGATCCTGGCTGTACCATTAGACAGATGTGTGACCTTTGGGAGTAGTTTGTCCTCTCTGGGTCTGAGTTTCCTCACTGCAAAATGTAAACCCTGTAGGGACTCTAATATCCGTGAGTCCCGTTCTGAGAACCAGAGCCTTGGAGCTGATTCTGTCCATCTGAGAAACCAGGCAGTGGGGCTACCAACGGCCCCATCTTTTGCCCCAACTGGCCAGCTCCCTCCAATCCCTGAGGACTGCAGGATTCTGGGGCTCCCACACTGTTCTCCAGCAGATCCTGGTCTCTGAAGGAGGAGGCTGGAGTGGCCAGAAGTCAAGGACGGTCTGTGCCGATTAATTTCTCTGGACTAGTCTTTTCCTTAATCCTCTCCATGCTTTTTGTATGTCAGACTTTGTTTTAAGCCTTACAAGACTCTCTATAGTCAATTGCTAAATCTATGGTATAGGTGATTGATCATAGTTTATAAACAGTAGGATTTTTTTTTTAATTAAAAGGCTATTGCTGACAGAATATAAAGCAAAACTCTAAGGTAATACTTCATATATTTAAATAAAATATCTGCTCACTGGTGACAAAAATTTGTTATTTGAGGATGGTTTCCATATTTGGAACTGGAGCCAAATTTGAGGAATGAAGTCCTTAAAGTGGGTAATATTTTCTGGTCAAACACAGGTCATGACAATAAAGAAATGAGACTGGTTCTTGTATGGCTCTTCAAATATGTACACTACAGACAGCTCTATTTTAAAATGTTTAAGCCAGGAATGGTGTTTTGAGCTTGTAAAACCCAACTACTTGGGGTGTGGGGATGGGAGAGGCTGAGGCAGGAGAATTGCTTGAGTCCAGGAACCAGGAGGCCAGCCTGGGAAACACTGTGAGATCCCATCTCAAAAAAAGAAAAAGAAAAGAATAAAAAGTAAAACTGTTTGGAGGTTCTAGAAACATCTTGAGATTTTAAGCAGGGACAGTATTAGTGGAATATTCGAGTTCAGCAACGAATACCTGCATTCTCTTTGTTGACCTCGGTGCTTATCCCTATCCCTACGTGAGGAGAAGTTCAGTGGGGACAAAGCCAGAGTCTTTTCAATTGTCTCTGCAGTGCGCTTCAGTTCCTGCCATGCCTCAGCCATTGCTCAATAGCATTTGGCTGACTGAGTGAATATAAAGTGTCTGCAGGAAATGGTCCCTCTTCAGCTCTCAGAAGACATGCTGACGACGCTGTGCAGGGGAACCACACCCTCCTCCCCACGCTCCCTGCCTTCACCTGCCATATTGGTTTCACTAGAGGGTGGGAAATAAAATATTCCATGCCAGGTGTACCTTCCATGGGAAAATCCCACAGGCATGGGATTATCTCACGCCACAGATCTCTATGACCATTTTTTCCCCACTCTTCTTCTCCCTAAATCTGGACCCCCCCATTTGGTTTTGCCCAGTGCTCAACTGATTATATGTCTGGCTCCAATATCAATTATTCCACTTCCTCTGCTTGGCCCCCTCCCTCTGCCAAATCCTCGTGTGTGCTCAGCTCTTCCCTGTTCCCATAGCCTCTCCTGAACTGAGAGGAGACGGGACGTGCCTCAGCAGCTACCCTGTCATGAGTCATGTCTGCCATCCTGCCAGCAAACGAGTGAGGAGGGTGGGGCCTGAGGGTGCGGGGAAGGAAAGAGATTTTCACTGGTTGTCAGAAAATGGGCACAGGGAGGGGTGGGAGCATTAAAGTCAGCAAGACAGCTGAGGATTGAGTTAATTAACCAGAAGCAAAGCACTCAACATAAGCCACATGAGGATGGATTTCAGAAACACCTCCTCCCAAAGAGTTCTTCTACAGATTTCCATGGCTACACTGTCCATTGGATAACACAGTTATTGTAGTATGATATCAACCTGCAAGGAAAGCAGACACTTCTACTTTAGGGATGAGAAAACTAATGCCCAGAGTGGTCCCAAGAGTGAGAGAACCAGGGTAGAATGTGACACTTCTAAGCTCTGACCTGGTGACATCCTGTATGTAAGGACACATAACATCTTCAGTGTCAGCATGATTACTCACTTGGATTGCGGGTCCAGCAACCTGTCTTCTTTGGGTTTCACCTAATCCCTTTACCTACATTACTAAGACAATTTCTCAGGGTCTTTCTGGCCATCACCCTTTGTGTCAAAGCCCTTTCACATCTGTGCTTGATCTGCCAGCTTCCTGGGTTCAGTCATCCCTATTGTATTCATGTTGTCTTAAGAGGGTTGGCTGACATCAAGAATCATGGATAGCACTTGTGTGTGTTTTTGTTTAACTTTGGACAAAGACTTGTAGGCAAGCGCAAAAAGTAAATCCTCTTTTGCAACCCAGAGCTCATTGTTCAGTATGAGTTTTGATACATGTAAGCAGGAATACTGTACCTAAGAGAGCTTAAAGTGATGGGATATTGATAAATGAAAAGGTTGGTTCTAAGTCTAAGAAGTTAATAAAAAGCACAGGTCATAAGAATCTCAGCTTTGTTGATTAAATGTTCCAATTTTCATATTGTGATAAAGGAGGAAGGATTTTAAAAAGAAATCATGGAAAAACTGCAGCAAATTTAATTCTCTTATTTTTAGTGCCCAACAAATACGTGAAAAATACACAGTCACTAAATATTAGTCCCAAAAGAACTGAATCAACAGGGCTGGGGTTGTGGCTCAGTGGTAGAGTGTTCACCTAGCACCTGCGGGGCCTTGGGTTCGATCCTCAGCACCACATAAAAAACAAATAAAATAAAGGTATTGTGTCCAACTACAACTAAAAAATAAATATTAAAAAAAGAATTGAATCAAACCAATGACAAAAGAACACCACATTCATAAACCACCCACCTCCTTCCTAGCCCCTGACCCAGGATCTTTGACAATCAGGAGTGGCATCTGCGAGCAACAGGATTGGAAGAAAATGCTACTGATCCAGAGCCCCGGAAGTGACTTTCACCGCTATCTCCACAATGTGTCACAAAATAATCCCCAAGAACAAGGCACGCTAAAATTCAGATCAGTGAAAATAAATGAAACTCATAGAATTTGGGGACTGGGAGAATTTCAGAGTGCCTGGTACCCCTGATTTTAGAGTAGAAGAAAACTGTATTGGTTTGTACAATTATATCAAAAGCGCCTACTATAGTGCTTGGCACAGAGTTCCCCTCAGTAAATATATATTCAGTAAATGGTCAGATGGGTAAAGTGGGTTGAAATCATATAGGAAGAGAGAGACTGAATCAGGATTAAAGGATCTAGAATAATCTCTAGCCATATGAATTTTTAAAGAATTGTTGTAATCTGTTTTCTTTTTAATGCACACTAGTTCATTTAATCCTGACAATACTCCCAAGTAGAATCTGTAATGTCTGCTTTACCTGAACTCGAGGCCAGAGGATGAAGTAACTTACTCAAAGTCACAAGCTTAGTGAGTGACAGCTCAAATGTGAGCCTAAGTTTGTCTGACTTAAAACTCAAGCAAGGATTCACTCCAGCACCTACCCCTTTTTGCAGGAGTCGCTGCAGTGGACATGCTCTCTTGACCTCAGAGGACCTTCTAGAGTCCCTCCTTGGCCATCAGAACATACTAAAGAAGGAACACTTTTCAGGATTTTCCTAGAAACAGCTAAACAGGTCTATAAATTGGCCTTAAGAATTCAAACTTCTCTCAAATACATGATTGAATCAAACATATAGGAAAATTGATTTTTAAATGCTCTCTTCTTTATGTTTTGTCTAAAATGTTCATTCAGATATAACCTACCAGCCAAAGGTGAGACTACATGCTGAACCAGCTACCAAAGAACTGCAGAACTGATGACCCCTGACCCACTAGCCAAGACCTATATCACTATTTCTTAGCAACCAGTGCAGGCCTTCTCCACCTGGAACCGCAAATAATCCCCCCAAACATTCCAGGTCCTTTTGAATGGAAGCAGTCCCTTACCGGATAGCCCCACGAGCCATTTCCTGCCTGGAACTTGGAGTAGTAGCTGCTCCGGCTGGTGGTCCCATAGTTGTTATAGTTGTCAGTCAAGCCATCGTACATGGAACCTGGAGAGCAAAAGAAGTGGGTTACCACAGGGATGGCAATAATGTTCCCCCATCCTCCTAGGGCATCCCCGGCATCCAGGTCTCCCACTCCCATGGAGGAGATTGATCTGAATTCCTGAAGGAGGAGGGTGGGCAATCTCCATCTCCCTCCACAGCCAGGGCCAAGGGAAAGGCCACCATAGACTGTTGCAGGGACAATGCAACAGAGAGTTTCAGTTGACCTATTTTGGAGAGTCTAATAGCTTCCCTGTGGCTTGAGGCTGGTTGACACATACAAGTCAGGAGGTGGCCCAGAGGGTCTTGAAGCACTGCTATTCCAGTCCAGGGAATCATGACTCTGTATTCCGCAAAGATCAACTTCTCACTTGGGGAAGGCAGGCAGGATCTCGACATTACAGGTCCAGAGCCCCAAGGTCAAAGCCACAGAGCGGCGAAGGCTGATGAGAGTCTGGATTCAAACCTAAGCCCAGCCCCAACAGATGACCAGGTTACCTTCCGCCTCTTCCTTCATTTCCGAGGCTCTCCAACTGAAGAGGGAGAAGCGATCAACCTCAAAGGACCGGTGAGGATTAATTAATGTTTTCACAGTGTTTGGAGACCCACAAATGACAGGCTCCAAGGGAAGACAGAGTGTCATTAGGGTTATTAGGGGTAAAGTGGCTTTGAATCACAAAAAGCAGAACTAGATTTTGGGTTCCTGGTGGGACCCCCCCCCCACTTCCCCCTTTCACCAGATTGGCATGGGGGCTCTGAGGGACATCCCCAACTCTGCAGGACTCTCCTGCTAACTCCATTTCCCTTGCTAACTCTGCCTTCCCTCCTGGGTTACAACCATTGACTCTCATGGGTCTCAAGACTCACCTCCTCTGGGAAGCTCATTCTGATCAGCCTCTGAACACATACTGTCCTGACTTCTGTATCCATCACTGCCCGTTCCCTCAGATACCCTGGGAGTTCCATGAGGGTCAAGCCATGGACCCAAGGCCCAGACTTCTAGAGCAGGTTTTGCTGTACACTCTTGTTAAATGTGGCCTCTGGGAATGAAGGTAAGAGGGATCCAACAAGAGCCTCCTGGCAGGAATGTGCACAATTTTTTTTTTCCTAAAGCCATTGTCACACTCCCTATTTGAAACCCTGTCTAGGGGGAAGAGGGCTTGGTTGGTGGTGTCCCCTGGCCTATCAGCCCCTCCTCTTCTGCCATACCCACTGAGACTTCAAGAGTTTTCCCAGCGACTGGATGGTCTGAGCTGAGGTCAATGGGAATATCAGAGGCGCAGCACTGGAAAGAGGCCAGCATCTCTTCTTGGGGATACCTCCTCTGTCCAGTGCCATATGCCCATACATAGGTCACAAAAGAGGGCACTTCCCTTAACTCCCATTCCCTATCATAGAAGACCGATGAACATTAAGGCTATTGGGCTGTGGCAGTCACAACTTGCCCTGGACTAGAGACAAGACTTATTGAAATCAATCCCGTCTGGCACTTAGGCAAGTGACATGCTTTCTCTGGATCTTAGCTTCCTCTTCTGTAAAAAGAGGGTGTTGGCTTCTCTGCACCCCAAAGGCCCCATAGAGCTCCAGTATTGCATGGTTGTATTATTATAGTGACACAAGTTCAATGGCATTCAGAAGGGCTGGACTTCTCCTGAGACAAAGCTCAGCTTTCAAGGAAGAAGAACAAACATCTAAAGCTAACCATCGCCTCCTTTGCCACCTGCCTCAAGGTTCTTCCAGAGAACCCTATGCCTGAAATCCTCGACGGCCCAGGTCCAGGCCCCACTACTGAGGACCTTCCCATTTGAGCAAGCCCTGGGACTCTGCCATGGCCCACTGGGCCCTGACTTACTCCAAACCGCTGATAATGCAGCCAGCTTGCTTCTCACCCTCTCTGCAGCTGCTTCTCTGGGAAGACTGGAGGAGTCTTGTGGGATCAGTCACCCAGAACTAGTTAGTTCACAGAGAAGAGGGTGCAGCCAGGCACACACAGTCAGGGCTCTAGGGAGCTGATAGCCAGGTCCCTGCCTCCCCTCTGTCCAGCCCACTATTACCCCTGCTAAGGCTTGGCAGGCCAGAGTCTGCCTGGTTCTCACCTTATGAGAGGTATTTCTCTCCAAAGGGCAGGCATGGGTCAGCCAGCTGCTTCCAGATGGAAAATCTGGGGTGGTGACAGATGGGTTCTATGGAGCCCCAGGGGGGACTCCGACTTGGAGAGGCATCCCCCAAAGGTTCCCACTGGGGCCTCCGCCCTTGATCAGCTGGACGGGACTTTCCCTCCAGGTCTTCAGATGAAGCGCCTCCTCCTCCCACACCTGCCCCGCTGCCCTCTCACATGTTTTTCTCTGTACAAAGGTGGGGAGCTCAGATGCTATGGAGGGAGGGGGTGGACACATGTATGTAGAAGCAGGGGTGGGATGCTCTATAGTGCCCCAAACCAGTGACCATGTCCCAGCCATAAGTCTGTTCTGGTGACAAGAAGTGTGGGCTGTAACTTTTACTTGGTTGGACCAAGGCCTCTGGAACCTTCCAGAAAGTTGCTAAAGTTATCTTTCAAGACTTGTCTGCAACCGGGGACTGCTTGGCTCCCTGTGAGAGCAAGGCTGCCATCACACCAGCCAGTCCTACCTCTCTGGCATAAGGCAGCTGCACTTACAGCAATGGCGTCAAGGGAGGGGGGAGTCCAGAGATGCCATACACCTGAAGTCACACCAGCAGTGTGCTAGATAACTGAGTGGTCAGGTGGCAGGTGAGCTCTGTCTATAAGAGACCTACTCATGCAGAAAAGCTGTTTCCCCTGCTCCTGACCCCTGGGTTATGGCTGGTAAGCAATGTCCTCTAAAAGCCAAGTTCAACAGCAAGAACATGGGACTTCTCAATGAGGTCAATGTTGTTAATCCCTTCTCCACCCAGTTTCCCCACTTCTACAGACTCACTCTGGGAAGCCTTTCCTGACTAATGATACCTCCATCTCTGTCTTCTGTCTATACCAGTCTTTACCACCAGGTACTTTGGGCACTTTCCAAAGCAAGAATCATATTTCTACTTTCCTGAGGATCTGGGGTACAGGGCACTGCTCCAGCAGGGACTGGATCTAACTGGTGCAAGCTGGCAGTTTCTGTTGACCAATTCTTCTCCCCTGCCCAGCCCTGTGGTGAAGGTCTCTGATACCTGGTGCCTAGATGCTCAGCGTCTCCATTTAATGCCAAATGGGATCAGGGTCTCTGAATTCTATTCAACCAGGGCTTCCTCCACCCAGGAGGTTTCCAATGGGTGGCATAAAATGGGACAAGACAGGATCTGTGTGCAGTTTCAGACAACCAAAGCCACTCCCTAGAGTAGGATTCTTGGTTCTAGGAGAGGTAAAGAGAGATGGTCCTTGCTCCCAGGTCACTCCACAGAATCACCACCATCCTCTCAGCCAATCACATGCCTTCCTACTCTTCTCTCCAAACAGGTGCGTTGACCATGAGCAAAAAGATGGTGGCTTCACAGTGAAGCTGGCAGCCAGCCCAACTTCCATGTCATCCCCAGAAGGCATTTGCCCACCCATAGAACCCCAAGGTCAACATACAAATACCTCTGAGCATCTATTGCTTTCCTTAACATACAAGCAATTGGGGTTGGTCTGTCCAGAGAGCTTGTCTTGTTTTATGCCAATATGAAGTTTCAATGTGCAAAACTGAGTCAGAAAATCTACCACTTGGAAGATCAATTTCTGCATGCAACTTCCCCTGGGTGCCTTGGACAAGGTCCGGCTGATTATCTCTTATGCCCATAGAGGTAACCCAAACTTTCTCACCTACAAAAACCTTTGAAAATGGAGGCAGCTCCCTGTTAGGATACATGGAATTGTCTCACCCATGGGGACAGGCAAACCATTGCAGGGTGACTCATCCTCTTCTACCTCCAGGCTTTCAAGTAGGTCACACCCACTGCACCTGAAACATTCTTTCTCTCCTTCTTAGCCAATCCCTCTCCTTGTATTCAAAACCTTGAACAAAATTCAGCTAAGAAAGGTGACCCCACCCAGCCCCAAGCACTCCAAGCCCTCTAGTATAACCACTGCTTACTCTGTGGGTCCCTTGGGGTGTTGTGCTGTATACCCTCTGTGTGTGTGTGTGTGTGTACTCATGTGTGTGTCCTATGTAGCCTTCCTCCAGAAAGCAGGGTCTGGGTGTCCCCCATTCAAACTAGGATCTTCTACATCAACTAGATCCACCTTTCTCCATCCCAGGACCAGGGCTCTCAGGACACTGGCCTGCCTGACCAACAGGCAGTCCCCAGGGGAAGAAGGCACCTAGAAGCCCCTCTGCTCTTCCCTTCTCCCAAATCTATCCCCTTTGCTGGGCAAGGGACATGTCACAGGTCAGCTTCTCTAGAGGTTTATCTCTGCTGCTTCTGTCTCCTATGTAAGGCTGAGGTCTCTTTTGGCTCCTTCTGCATTGGAATCAAGCCCAGCTATCCCTCAGCATGAAGAGCTTGAGAAAGAAGCCCATCATCTTTCAGCATTGAAAACGGCTTTAGTTCATTCTCTAAAATCTCCTCCACCCATTCTGTCCAGGGCGAGGCCCATAGCAAGGGGACTTTAAATGAGGAAACAAGAATTGTCAGGAAGACACTTCTGAGACAACATCCCTCAGAGATGTTCAGGAGTGGGTAGGACAATCAGGCCACATGTCTCAACAGGAAGAGTGGCCGGCCATCTCCTGGCCCTCTACCTGGCTCCTGGGAGCACTGAGGACTGCTCTTCCCACTCTGGAGCTTCCAGGAGCCTGAGGAGGCGAGGAGTTCAGTACAACCTCACCAGGCACTCTGGTGTGGTTCTCAGCCTTTACCTGGGCACATGCACAGAATAGAAATGCTGAAACAAATTGGGTGCTCTCTCCTCTCCCTCACCAGCACATGTGACTCCCCAGGATTCTGCTGGGACGTGTCAAGCCCAGCTCTGTCGGAATCTGGGGCTCTTTCTGATAATCCAAGCATGGCCACCACCAAACCCAAGG